AGTGGAAGAGGGTCCAACCCCCTTCGAGGAGACTGGTTCCAGAGCCCAAGCTGTGCGCCGAGGTGAGCCCGACTATGTCTAGCCGGAACTTCACAACCTCGCGCACCAGCTCAGGCTCCATCCCCATCAGAGATGTGACTTTCCATGTGCCAAGAGCTAGCTTGTGCAGCCGAGGATCGGACCGCCAAGGTCCCCGCCTTTGGCCACTGCCCAGCTCACAACGCACCCGACCCCTATGGCCCCTCCTATGGGTGGTGAGCCCATTGGAGGGGGGACCCACGTACCTTGTTTAGGCTGTGCCCGACCAGGCCCCATGGGTATAGGCCTGGCCACCAGGTGCTCACCATCGAGTCCCACCCCCAGGCCTGGCTCCTGGGGGGGGCCCCGGTGACCCGCGTCCGGGAAAGGGAAAACGTGTTTCCATATTGTTTTTCTTCATAAGGGGTCTTTTGAGCCGCACTTCGTCTGGTTCCTCACCCAGGACCTGTTTGCCTTGGGTGACCTTACCAGGGGCATAAAGCCCCGGGCAACTTAGCTCCTGGGATCACTGGAACACGCAAACCACTCCACCACGATAAGGTGTCGGCTCCAGGAGGGGACCTTTATTTAATACATCCAAATTCGTGGGGTGAACTTTAAACATATACTGTTAAAACTTAACCCAGCAGATCCTGCTGAATAGGGCGTCTTTAATGTCATGGTTAATTATATTCTCCCTCTTGCTTTTGTGTTCGTACCAATACAGTATACATGTTAGACGGTTCATTTAATTTCGACTGGACTGGAAGTGAAAAGGTGCATCATGACAACGCAGTAAATGTGAACGCTTTGCATTCTTTTGGTAGGATGTCATCTCCCCCTGGCCACACCTGTACAGAGTCTGGTGACACTGCTGAGGAACTATGGTAACACTTCATATGCTGTACACCTTTTGTTTTTCTTGGATTCACTGCTTATTGGTCATCAGGCAGCATGACATTTTGGTCTCTTATGACCTGGCATATGGGCATCATTGGTTTGGATCGGTGGGTTGACATGCATGTGATGTCACAGGTTAAACTCCCTGTGAAAAGGTCCTGTGAAAACACCCTGCATTTAACTTGTGTTTCTTACCCCCCCACTAGAAAGTAAAGCTTTCTAGCTTTTGAGATGTGCATTGACATATTATATATTTTATGCCCAATAAATATATGCCTTAACTTACCAGTGCACATTATATATTTGTTTTCGTGACTTTCTCTGGGTCTTTTTTAATACCAGGTTTTAATACCTGTCATGAAGAGAAACAGCATGAAAAAATGCAGTGATTTCTCCTAAGAGACAGCATAGCAAACCAGCCAGGCTGAACAGCAGCGTGCAGCACAGCCTTCCCACAATGACCTGCTTGATGCCAGGGCTGGCATGTCCTTAGTTTTGCATGATTAGTGAACGTGACTGTGGGTGTTTTTGTGCTTTTCCACACACACACACGGGCCTTTCTGTGAGACGCCATTTCTCTGGAATTTGAACAGAAATTGACAGAGGTGCTTTAGCAGTATATTCTTATGTCATCTGCCTGCTGAAGTACAACAGTGCTGCCAGGTGAGGGTGCCATTTCCGCTATTTTGTTCAACCAAATTTACGGGCTGAAGCCCAGATACTTTCTGGCTGTGCAAGATACTTTCGGAGCCTTCAACATAAATGGAGCACTAACCTTATAAAGCTGTTTCCAAACTGAAAGAGGCATAAATGTCTGCCACTTTCTGGCTATGTAATATCAATGATGAATAATTTAGTTTTATTTTTATTATACACTGTTGCCTCACACCTCTGGAGACCAGAGTTTGAGTCTCAACCCCAGCTCTGCATGTGTAGAGTTTGCATGTTCCCCTGTGTCGCTATGGGGCTTCCTCTGGATACTCTGGTATCCACCCCACAGTCAAAAAACAGGCTAAGGTGTTTGTGAATTTTGTGCGTGCGCGCGCATGCGCGTGCGTGTGTTATTCCCTGCCTTGTGCTTGTAGCTTAGGTCCTGGACCCCCACAACCCTTTATAGGACAATTGAGACTGGAAAAAGGATGGATGGTTATTTGGCTGTATATCATCAGTCATGTTCGTCTTCATTAAGAGTATTCCCTCTATTGTTTCCTGAGAGCTCCTTTCAGAGCTGTTACAGTCAAAGTAAAAAGTTTTTGAACCCTTTGGACTTATCTGGTTTTCTGCATGAGTTGGTCATAAAAAGTGATCTGATCTTCATCTAAGTCACAGGTACTGATATACACAATGAGCTTAAGCGAATAATCGACAAAAAATTCTACTCTTTCATGTCTTTATTATAGAAACACATTCAACGTTCACAGTGGTACTGGAAAAAGTAAGTGAACCTCTGGATTTAATAACTTGTTGACCCTCCTTTGGCAGCAATGACCTCAACCGAGGCGCTTCCTGTAACTGCAGGTCAGACCTGCACATCCATGCAGGGGGAATTTTAGCCCATTCTTCCCCACAGAACTGCCTTAACTCTTCCATATTCCTTGGTTGTCTTCTGTGTATGGCTCTCTTCAATTAATTCCACAGCATCTCAATAGGACTGAGATCTGGGCTCTGACTGGGCCACTCCAGAGGCGGATTTTGTTCTTCTGAAACCATTGTGCTATGAATTTGCTGCGATGTTTTTGGTCATTGTCCTGTTCCATCACCCAGCCTCTTCTCAGCTTCAGTTGATGAACAGACACCTTCACATCATCCTGGATAATTTGTTGATAAACTTGGGAATTCATTTTCCCCTCAATGAGTCGTCAGCTTAGGGTTCACTTTTTCCAACCTTCAGTTTCACAGTTTAAATTAATTATTCAATATGATTTTCTGAAAATATGTGTATCTTTAGTTATAAGAGACTGTGTTTGTTCATTATTGTGACTTACATGGAGATACGACGACCATGTTTTATATGGGAATTACACATGAATATAGTAAATTCCAACGGGTTCACAAACTTTTTACTTTGACTGTATATGGCCTGTTAATGTTCAAACATGGCAGGCCACTGCCAGGGAGTGGAAGGTCTGGCATTAGTATCACATACAGCTGCTAGGAGTTGCTGGTACTGGGGCAGCTAGCCCCCGGAGCTCTGGGTGGGGGCATGGAAAATGGTTCTCTTTCACCAAGGCAATTTCACAAGAGACAGATGCTCACATCTGTTCAAAAGTCTTCCATTTGATACGAGTGATGTCATGTCACAACCATTAAGATGTGTCCTCCTCCTCACTACCCACACTTCTCTGTGTTTCCATGTGAACACCAGCCATTCGCACCCCATGATTATTGTGTGAGGGAGTGCTGTAGCACAGGCCCTGCAGGAGGGCGGGGACGGGCGGGGAGCGTTAATCTGTCACCAGCTCACAGCCCCCAGTCGAGCACCTGACTCACCTCCATGCGGGCCTGTCGTGAAATATGCCATATGCTATTTAAAAGCTGATTTCAGTGTTCACATTGGTTGCATGACTAAATGTTTAGGGCATGGTCACTAATTCAGTTCATCTTCTGTTACGGATGTAACACTGTATTTGTTTCATCTATCTGAAGATTTGTTTATTGTTTAAATGGCTTTCTGATTGTGACCAGCCAGATGGTTGGCATGAGGGAGATGGGCATGAAGGGCTGTCCTGAGTCAGTGGTATAACATCACGTGTTGGTTGTATCTGCAATGACATTAAGGCCCAGAGGGGTTTTCATGTAGAAACTGGCAGCTTAGCGTTGTGGATAAATAAAAATTGAAGGGATGCATGCATGTTATTTTTGTGTGTTCTAAATTAGCAGCTGAAGGAACAAAACATGAACTATCAGATCAAACTGACTGCATGGCAGCTTTTTCTTTGAGCAACACTGGGAAAACAGAATGAATCAGAAGGAAAATAAAAACAAGCTGTGGTTTCTGTGTTTTAGATACAAGATCTTTTTGAACTATGTAAATTATAGGTAAGTATATTAGAAGCTTTAATTATATATTTTGTGCCTCTTTTTTTGAGAGAAAGTAAATATCAATGGCTCAGGCTCTTGTATCCCACCCCAGCACCAACAAAGCAGCAGTGCTCTAATCAGACCTCGAAGGCCCTGACCCCAGGTGCCCTGTGATTAAACATATTTCTGCATGTTATTCCCACTATGGTTCATAACCATCACAAAATCAGTGGAAAATTCCCAATGTGGGATAATCCCCGATGAGCATGGTGGGAAACCCTGTATCTCCAATGCTGGTTTTTCTCACACTATGTGGGATCGTGTGTATGGGACCACCGAATGCCAGCCCGCTCTGGCAGTAGGAGCGCGGCTTCTGTGCTGCTGGGAGAATGCCTCCTGTCAGCGTCACTCCCATAAAAAGGGAACATTTCCTTACAAGCCAGTGATATCCGCTCCACTGCTCCTCTCCAGATGTTAGCCCTCTGGATTTACTGAGTTCCGGTTTCTTCCATCCTGGCCAACACACAGAGGGATTATGTTCTGACTCTTTATACAGACTAAGGGAAGCCCCCACTGTCCCCATGTGACACACCCACTTTAATTCCCTGCATTATTCATGCATTCTGAGGAGTTTCCAGTCAGAAAGCTGGGCAGCATGTGCTGGCCCGTTAGGGCTTAGAAATGACACTCCGATTTTAACATAGCAGAGTAGCAAAAGGCACACAGTGTGTATGTACACCTGGCATCCCTGGTTCTTTGTTCTGTTGTGTATGTTCCATTACTCTTGTACATTCTTGAACTTAAATACAAAAACAGCATATCCAGGAGCATAAGTTTATGGAATTATATCAAGCCCTCAAAAGAAGCAAGATTTCTACTGAGAAAGAGAGAATAGAAGAGATTGTACTTTGTAAAAATGTCTATTTAGGGCACATGCAAAGAAGCCATGGGAGAAACAACTAGCAGTGACAAATAAGGATATGCCGTGGTGTTAGGCTCCTCCCCATGCCTGTCTCTGAAGCCCTGCCTTTAGAGTGTGGAGTATTGGCAGAGGGCTGGGAGAGACACTAAGGCGGGTGAAGCAGCGACGTGTGTGTTTCTGGTGGGCCGAGAAAGCCGCCAAGTGACCTGCCACTGAGTGTGTGTGAGTGCATGTGCATATGTGTGCACGCCATGTTGAGATGTGGGTTCTGCCTGGGCCTTGCCTTCTGGATGTGCTACATGCAGATTATTGCTGCTGTCTTGTTTTGGCCACCACCTGCCACCGAGGTTCCAAAGACGCCTACTGCGGAGGACCGTCCTGGTACCGGGCAGGATGGGGAGAGTCTGTCCAGTGTAGGGAAGGAGATCATGAATGTGGCCAATGGGATTCAAGACTTTGTAAGGAAATGGGACCTGGAGACACCTGAGAGTGATGCTGCCCGAGCCACTTCTCAAGCAGGAGGTGATCATGTATCCATCACTCGTCAAGTGAGAGGAGGTGGGCATCTGAAGGACCAGGGCACACAGGTTTCTGTTACTGGGCAACCAGATGATGGTCATATGATTGACTCAGGTATGGCTGTCACCGTTTCCCAGACTGACTTTGACACACCCACTGCAGTAACTCGGCAAACAGAAAATAATCAGAGCACAACCATCCCTCTTAAAGGTGAAGAAGATGGAAACCTAACTGACCTGGTCATAACCTCTGTGGTAGGTCAGCAACCAGAGAACAATCAGAGCCCAACCATAACTCTTAAAGGAGAAGAGGATGGAAACCTGACTGACCTGGTTACAACCACTTTGGTAACTCAGCAACCAGAGATCAATCAGAACACAACCATCACTCTTAAAGATGAAGAAGAGGAACACCTGGTTCACCTCATCACAACCTCTGCAGTAATGCAGCAACCGGAGAACAATCAGAGGACAGCCATCACTCTTAATGGGGAAGGAGATGGAAACTTGACTGACCTGGTCACAATTGCTGCAGTAACTCAGCAACCAGAGAACAATCAGATCACAACCATCACTCTTAAAGGGGAAGGAGATGGAGACCTGACTGACCTGGCCACAATCTCTGAGGTAACTCCTCAACCAGAGTACAATCAGAGCACAAGCATTACTCTTAAAGGGGAAGGCCTTGGAAACGTGACTGACCTGGTCACAACGTCTGCAGTAACTCAGCAACCAGAAAACAATCAGATCACAACCATCACTCTTAAAGGGGAAGAAGACGGAAACCTGACTGACCTGGCCGCAACCTCTGCAGTAACCCCACAACCAGAGAACAATCAGAGCACAACCATCAAACCTAAAGGGGAGAGACATGAACAATTGACTGACAGGGGCACAGTTTCTTCTATCAGACAAGAAAGTGTTACCAGTCAACCGTGGACCATAGCAGAAGGACTTCACCTGGCTGATAATATGTCATTAGTGCAGGGTGTATCCAGTAGCTGGGGATTGTCTGAGCCTGGTTCTGCTTTTGGATCTGAGTCTGTGTTCTCACGGACAGAGATGCAGCACAGCACACCTATCCCTGGTGGTGCTTCGGGCCATGTGAGGTTTGTAAGCAGCTTTGCTGCTGAGAAACAGGTAGAGGAGCTCAGCCTGGAGAAGACTAACTTCTCCCAAATTACTGCAGACAAGCCTGACACCACAGCGATGCAGAATCACACTGGTAAATACCTCTACCAAAGCCTTGTGTTTTTCCTTAGTTTAATTCCTTTGTTTAATCGCCATGGCATTGCATATTCCAGAAAGTTCCTGGTCTAATGTAACCCTCTCATCAATCATTTGCATGCCTTTAATGTGCGGTTACATGCAAAATCAAGATGCATTTGTTTTCTCCCTGTTACTAAGGCTTAAGAATGTCCAAATGTCCCCACAATGTGATAAAAAACCTGTTATTTTGATGTTGTGAGGACCATTTTTTCAGTACCCACAATTCAGTTTTATAAAGATCTACAATCAAGAAAGTAAAAATGCCAAATGACTTCTATTTTGTTTGGTTACTTATGGTTAAGGTTAGGACTGGGTAGGGGTTAAAGTTGTCATTGTTGGGATTAGGGATCTGCCCATAGAAATGAATGGACATTCAGGTCTATGTGTGTGTGTGTGTGTGTGTGGGTTTGACATTCCCCAGGTTCAATACTCCGCATAATATCTGAATATCAGCTGAATAGTTTCATCATTGATTTGAAAATATCCAGTGGTATTTTCCAATGTTTCCTGAATGATACTGCAGGCAGTGAATCAGGTTTTATCAGTCTGGTCTCCTCTCAGAAAAATTGGAAGTGGTTAATCAACCCACTGGTTACCACTCCCCCCAACCGTTTTACTGGTCTATGACATTTTTGTAAAATGTAAAACACTCCACAAACATCAAAAGGTTTGGAAACCCTACTTTTGTAAAGAAAGCTGCTGCCAGATGACCTCGGGTTACCATGATCTACTTATTCATAGAAGGATCTCTAATCTTAAAAGCAGCAATGGGCTCATAAGAAAGACGCCTTTGTCTGTCAGGAAGTGCGAGTCACTGGCTTTGGCCCTCATTCAGTGTGGTATGCTGGCTGTCTCTCTTTCCTTACACTGAGTGGTTTTTTTGAGCTGTCCCCTTGCCTTGGGGTGTATGTTATCTCCAGTTAATGGTGTCATTTTCTGGTCCTATATGCAGTACAGTTGCTTTCTCTTATACTTTATCCCTTATACCTCACTTAGTGTTTGCCTGCCTGCAGACCCTTGTTCAGTGCTTTCAGTAAACACTGGTTGAACAGTAAATTGGATGAAAGACTTTTTTCTACTGGGGTGTGGGCCGTGGGCACTACTATCAGAACAAATAGAGCTGCTGGGGGCTTCTTCTCTGTGTCACGCTCACATTCACGCTCCAATAGTAGGAGTGATTCTGTGTCTGGGAGCTGTTTCCTGTCGCATTGACCTCTCAGTGTCTCAGTGGGCAGCGTGTGAACCGCTGCTCTGTGTCATTTATATAACCACCCCAAGGACATGATCTGTATGTCCGTTAGTGGAAAAACTCAATTTGAACTGACTGAACCTTAAAAATAGTGTCACCAGTGAAAATGTGAACCAAAGAGCCAAATGCTAAAGTACTTCATAAGTACAGAAAAGACATGAGTAGGTGATAAAAGGCATAACAACATAAGAAGTTCACAAACTTGCTTCCCTACAAGGTGGACTCAATGCCATTTTCAGAGCTAAAGTTTTTTGTTGTTTATACAAACAAGGGTAAATGTCAGCTCCTGGGTAAGGATGTCTGCTTAAAGTGTCCGGTGGAGATTCAGTAAGCTCCAGTAGAGACTAGAAATTCGTCATATGGTCTTAGAGACCATTTTTGGTTGGTAAGTGAGCGAGGATTGCCTTGGGGACCGAACATCTACAGTGTACATCTGGGTTTCTCCAGATGTTGCCCTTTCCCATGGATAATGGCACAGCTGTGTCAGAAGACTGATACTATCTCCAAGTCAACTGTCACTTTCCCACCTAACTACTAGAATTGGACTTCTGGATCTTGACCAAAAATACATTTTCCCATATTGTTAGATCTCAAGGGAGCATAGTCAGGTATGCTGCACTGCATCTACACTGAGTTTGACATCCTGACACTGTTGAGACTGTGTAGAATGAAAGTACCTTGCTGCCTCTGTCAACATCAGCACTGGCTTTTCATGATATTGTATGAGCCCATGGCTGCATTTCTGAGTAGAGTGGAGGGGATTTTCACAGGTTGTGACATCAAATATGTTAGACTGGCAATGGCAGGGTATATCGAACAGAGCAGCAGTGTCTGGCGATGCAAGAAAATGGCCATTCGTGTGGGAGTGTGTGATGAACATCAATTGGCCCTGGGTGCTGTGATGAAACTGCAAGTGCAGAGAGTTGGCAGTGGGCACGAGGGGGCTAGATAAGAGCAGCTCAGCCAAATGGCATCAGTACGTGGATGGCTCTTCTCAAAATATACATTCTACGTAGCTCTGGTTCACATGGGTGTCAGTTACAGTGAGCCGTGAGCCTCTAACAGCTGGAGAAGCATGTGGCCTGATGTGCAGAAATGCATAAACTCCTGGACATAATTGGCTGGTGAACGAAATCTGCAGTTTTATACAGATGCCAGGGCATGATTAATCATGGACATGTTTTTGTTTCTGGAGGATATTTTGATCTCATGTTAAATGAAATGATAGTGTACATTTTACTCACCTAGCTCTGAGAAACTTTTTATTTAAGATGTGGTATCTATCTATATAGCAGTGGTATCTATTAAGGTTTTCTATCACTCCCCAAAACTCCACATCCCAGCTGAAGTCTTGCTTTCCCCACTCCCCCACAGGTAACACTGGCGTGTCCCTACTGCAGCTAATAATGGGCATGTCTGCGGTCACGTGTGCCCTCAGCCCTGTGTTTGGCCCGAAGATGCCCATGAGTCATCTGGCACGCTCTTACTTGCCTGGCACTTTCTACCGCGACTTCTCCCTGCTTCTTCACCTTCGGCCAACATCACCCAAGGCAGGCGTGGTCTTCTCAGTCACAGATTCTGGCCAGCACCTCCTGCTGGTGGGGCTCAAGCTGTCAGCCGTGCAAAATGAAACTCGCCAGCTGCAGTTTTTCTACACGCAGCCAGGGTCTGATGCCTCCCACCTTGCTGCCAGCTTCCCTCTGCCTGTGCCTACTGACAGCTGGACCCGCCTGGCACTTGCTGTAGTTGGAAACCAGGCTGTACTCTATGTCAACTGTGATCCAAAGCCCATCACAAGACACTTCAAGCGTGGCCCTGGTACCATCAAGTTGAAGGCCTGTGCCAGTATATTTGTGGGAAGCGCTGGGAGGGTGGACCCTGACAACTTTGTGGTACGTACCTTACATCGGTTACTGAGATGGTTGGGCACTGGGGGGAAATAACAGATTTAATGGTATGTGGACCCATCCCTGGTAGGCATCAAGGGGACACAAAGGTCACATTAAGCCACCACAGAAGGGCCCACTGACTGTCCTGGGGGGGCAGGACTGTGAATTTAGTCCAGACAGACACAGAGAAAATACTGTGAGCTGTCGCTCGGAAATTCCTGCAAACAATCATGGCAGAGTCTGGTATGGGGTAGAATTCATCAGAGGGGCTGAAAGATTACTTTGTGCCTTTGAGAAAAGCGGTGGGTAACTCTGGAAATCCAGACACCCAGCAGATTTAATTACACTGGCTAGTCCTGGAAGAGCCTCTCTGATCTTTGATAGGGAACAGTCTGCACCAAACACATTAATTGAATACAAAACATATGTATGTTTGTTAGAAATTAGAAAATTATCAGAGGAAATCTCACATTTATTTACAGAAAGTTTAAAATGCATCACAATCTGTGGATGAAGTGGTGGACCTCTGCATGCAGACAGTTGGTTAAGTGGTGGATCTCTGTGTGCTGACAGTCAGCCAATTGGGGCATCTTTGCATGCTTATGGTCAGTTATGTGGTGGATTTCGGCATGCTGATTGTCAGTCAAGAGGTGGATCTCTGTGTGCTGACGATCAAATAGGATATCTTTGGTGCTGATGGTTGAAAATAACATGCTTCCAGGGTTTGATCGAGGACCTGAGGCTAGTGGGAAATCCACAGGCAGCCCAGCGGTACTGTGAGGATGAGGATGATTCAGATATGGTGAGGGGCTTACCTTTGCTCTGGTGTCCTTCTGTGTTTGCTTTTAATATAATCTTCTAAGTGCTGTATTTTTCCCTTGCGTTGCAGGCCTCTGGTGAATCCGGAAGTGGTGATGGGAACATGGCTCAGATGGAAATGGTACTGCCTCCTTAGTGGAGAGAGAACTTTACTGTTATGGAGACATCACATTTCTACTTGCTCATTTGGTGCATTTTCCCTATTATTAATGTATTTAGAATGAATCCTGTAACTGGGCTCTTCTCACAGTTTGGCCCCTGGCCCCAGGCACATCTTTCCAGTCCAGCCCAGTTATTGTATTAACTGCAGTACTGAGCATGGCTTGTGATGCTCTGGGTGCCTGATACCCCTGGAAGCAAGGGACAGGACATGGTCACATACAGAGTTTCACTCCATGTTATAAATGCCTTCTTATTGTTTCTGTTGTGGAGCCTCATCGATTATTTTTATTAGTGATTTTTTTTTAAAGCTTCCAGCTTTTCTAGGACTCCTCAGTGCACTCAGGGCTGGAATGCTCAGTGCTTTTAGTGTTGATGCATTCTGCACACTCAGAGCCAGCATGTTCAGCGCTTTCAGAGCTGGAATTTTCAGGGCAATCAGGGCTAGGGTGTTCAGGGCACTCAGAGCTGGGGTATTCAGTGTTCTCAGAGCCATATGTTCAGGGCACTCGGGGCTGGCATGTTTAATGCCTGGCTGGGAGTGCATGACAAACGGCAGCTCCGATGCATTCCAGTGTAACATAATATTGTTTCATCCATCCATAGATGATACAAGTATAAGGAGCACATTTGTGGTTTACCCCACAGGATACATGACCAGCTCCAAGGTACAAAAGCATTTCCTCCACTGGGAGTGACCCTCCAGCTGCCTGGCCCCTGATTATAGAGCCTGGGTGAAGGAGCTGTTCCTTCCTGTTCCTGGAGAGCTTTGAGGAGAGCAGGGACACAATGTAATATCAGCTCAGATGTGTGGCCAAAGTATGCCTTGCTTACTTTGTCTTTGTTCTCGTTTTCTCTATATAGACAACACCTTCACCTCTGCATACCATTCAGCAGCTACCACTGACACTGGTACATTGTCAAGAAGAAAAAGCCAGACTCAAAGAGAGAGGTTAGGCTCAGGTTGTCCCTGTGGTGATGGAATATGCCATGAGGTCATCTAGCTGCTCTAAGGAAAAAGAACATGAAGATGACTGCTAATAAGTGTCCTTTCGTTTGTGTGGCACAGGATCACAGTCAGCTCCCTCTAGTGGATATATGTATAGGACTTTATTTTAAACACACTAATATAATTTGCCCTTTGGTGGTTCAGCCTTTCCACCTTTTTACTTTAATGAAACCTGCCAGAATTAAATGTGTTTAGGTTGAGCATGTGTATTCAAAGGCTCCAGTGAACTAAAGAAAAATATCATGTCATTCTGCCAAAAGGTCCCCTTTTTTCTACATTTTACTTAAGAATTTTGAAGCATTTATTGAAATTTAGTATTGCTATTTATATTGCATGACTTATGTTCACTTACATTTCCAGCCCAGTAAAGGTGATACTAAGCATTACTTTGACTCATTTTTGCTCTAGTTGGGCTCATTTGCTTTGATCACTTCATTAAAGGTTTGAAGGGTGACCCTGGGCCCCCCGGTCCTCCAGGGCCCTCTGGCCCACCAGGGCCCATTATGGAGATTCATGGGAACAGCTCTGTGGTCCAACCAGGACCCAGGGGCCCACCGGGACCACCCGGACTCCCGGGTCCAGCTGGGCCTCCTGGAATGGACGGACGGCCAGTGAGTGCAATACCCCTCCCCACCCCTTACCTATCAAGGTCATTGGTGTGTTGCCTGCCCCCCAATTTTAGGAAAGAAAATACTTGGTTCATAAGATGTTTGTTTGTAAAAGCTGGGACAAGTCACAGCAACTGAGTGAATTTGTATTGCTCGATGAAAATTGTGTTATATATATAAGATGTGTTGTGTAATATTTAATAAGTGATGGTAATTATAAAATAGTTTTCTTTTCTTAAAATGATTTCCCTCATTTATAGGGTAGCTGTGGAAGAAATGTCAGGCCTGTAAGTATATATATTTTAATGTTCGCAATCAAGGCATAATGTTCAGAATTGCTTCACTCTCACAGCGGTTGTTGTTCAATTCATATATGCTATCACTTGGTAGCATTATTAGAAATCATGGTGTGGTTTTATTGCTATGCTGAGAACTCAAAGTTATACACAGGGGCGTCAGTATTCTGAGGGGGCCCAATTACATTGTGCGTGGCAGACAAAAATAGGTAATGATGCAATTTTCTGTAATTTAACATATGTTCAAAGACTGGAAGGATTGATTATTTTAAAACTTCACTGAATGATTTCTGTGGCTAAGTAATCTAAGTAAACTTTATATTAGAGTAAATACTATATATATATATACATTATATATATATATTTATTTTTTTTTTTCATGTCAATTAGTTGCGCTGTTATTGAAAATGACAATCACTTATTCACTCGCTTCAACTCCAGCTTTTACACTGTAAGAGCTAAATCTTGTCTGCTTCACCCAGAAATTTTAAGGGGCATAAATCCACATTAAGTGACTATATCGACAATGCAAATAATTTAGAGAACATAGATTCCTAACATAATGCTAATTGCTGAAATTTGATTTTGTGGCTTTCATTTCCAAAACCACTTCATTTTGTTCCCTTACCATCAAATCGGCTATTGATCTCACCTAAGATAACCTGCCTCTTGCACTGTCAGCCTCCTGACTGAGGACAGGAGGCCAGAATCCTAAACATGGATTGATGGCTAACTCAATATATCGGATATAGCGGACTCGCATATAACGGAATTTCGCTTATAATGGACAAACAATTTGGCATAATTCTAATTGTAGATATCTGAAATTGCATTTTTACTACTCATAATATGAATTCTGTATATCCGTAAAGACATTTTTGATAGTCACAATGTATTTCGGATATTCGAAATTACATTATGGATATCTAAAATGGTGGTATCCTTTCGGATATCTGAAATTAATATTATGACTAGTAACAATTGGATTGTAAATACCTGAAATGGGAGTTTTTCCTAGTAAGAATTAATTGAATTGCAGATATCCAGAATGAACATTCTGGATATCTGAAATATAATTGTGGATATCTGAAATTAAAAGCCCAATAGACATGGATGGCAAAAGTAATTTCTCCTAGGAAGAATGACGATGTGGATATCTGAAATGACAATTGTGGATAGGAAGAATGTCATTGTGGATATCTGAAATATTCTTTTTGACTAGGAAGAATTGAATTAGAGATATCTGCAATACATATCCAGTCTAGCGATTAAATGTTATAATGGCTTGCCATATCCAGCGCAGATACATAATCGGGATTATTAATAGTCACGCATCTGGTCAGGTAAAGTTGGATTACTACATGTACAATATAATAATCTATACGACAAGTGTGTCTGCTGGGGTGTGGCATGAGTAAATGGTGTCCTATAGTTGTGTTCTGGGCATAGAGCAACTCTGGATATAACGGACTTTGGATATAACGGACTGTTTTGCCAGGTCCCTTGAAGTCCGTTATAAATGGATTTTATTGTATGCCTATATTTCTCTAATGCAATTGCTATTCATTTTCACACATGTGTGAAGAGGGGGGTGATGCTGATGCTGTACTAATTCAACAACCTACCATTAATCCCTTGCTGATCAGTGTGAAGCTGGCAAGAATAAGGGGGACACTTTTGGTTGCTATATAGATAGATAGATAGATAGATAGATAGGACTTTATTGATCCCACAGTGGGGAAATTTGTGCGTTACCAGAGCTCTACACAGAATAAGAATACAAGAAAAAAAGAAAAAATAAATAATAAAAAATACAATAAGATCAACACTAAATACAGCAGTAGTGCCTATGTACACCCATACACAGTATGTA